AGTAAGCCATGAAATTCCTTCATCTCCTAAGCATTTCCACACCTCTATTGGAATATCTTCAGGTCCAACAGCTTTTCCACCCTTCATTTTCTTTAAAGCCTCTCTAATTTCAATTTTATTAATACGTCGATAAAAACAGAAATCTTTATTTTCATTTAGGTTGCTAAGGTCACTATAGTCAATCTTATTTTCTCAATCTTCATTAAAAAGTTTAGCAAAATATCCCATCCATCTTTGTTGAATATCATCTTCTAAAAAAGTATTTTTTTGATCTTCATCCTTAATACACTTCACTTGAACTAAATCCTTACTACCTCTATCTCTTTGTTTGGCTAACTTATACATATATATTTGGCCAAATTTTCGGAAGCAGCTTGGTTGAGGCAGTTATTAGGAGAAGGAGCGTGTTTGCAAAAGAATTTGAAAAGCAGCGAGTTCGCCATAATAGTTGGCGCATTTATAGAATGCGCGTCAATGAATGCGCGTAATTGATCCGCGCATTCTTTAGAATGCGCGAATGCGTTTAGCGCATTCTGTACAATGCGCCGAAACTTTTGGCGTAATCAATAGAATGCGCTTATATGGCTGGCGCATTATTTTGTTATTTTCGTGTCAGTTGTCGTTTCCCCGACCAGATCCGGAAATTTAGGCACTGATTCCGCGCATTCAGTGTGGTGGGGTGGTTGATTATTGGTTTGGTGGCATTCAGTGCGTGGAGTGAATGAGGGGGTTGGGGAGGTGATTTCTGACGGCTATAAAAGCCGCGGAGAGCTGGCCGGGAGAAGGCACCGAAGAAGCTCTTCAGTTATTCTCCACAGAAAAGGAAGGTTAGTAATATTTATTTTGTTTAATTATATTTTTTCATTGATGTATGGTTTGCATAGTTTATAGTCTACGTAATATTCATGTGTTTTGACAGAGAAATCTTTGTATTCGTACATTGTTATTTTTATTTTTTTTTTGATTCATTATGTCAACCTGTTTGTATGTTCGTTGAGTGGGTTGTGAGTGAAATATTTTGTTTGTAGATGAGTGGAGATATTTGTTTTAGTGGAGTTAAAATTTTATAATTTTAATATATTCCTAGCTTTGTCGCCATGATTTTTTCTATGGTTTGATTTAATGATTAATAATAAAGAAATTTTTAGTCCAAAAAAATATAAGTTATCACTTACACCTCATAGCCATCGCTGTTGTGCTTGGTTGTTATGCAAACAGAACATCCATTTTAGAGTAGGAAGTAAGCACATCCAATACATGGGGACTTTAAAAATAAAATTGAACAAATTATAGATTAACATAACTAAATCATAATGTTTTTCCATTAATTTTTAGAATATTTTCCTATAGGCCTATTAATTGTTTTTTGATAAAAAATTTTTGGCAGTAATGCATAAAATATAATCATGATTCAACACGATTAAGATTTTTTTATTTTTTATCGAGAATAATCATGATTCAACACGAAACACAATGCATAATTGAATAATTAATTTATGTAAAAATTCTCTTAGAAATTCATTAATATATAGTTAATGCTATAATTTAATTTTATAATTTTTATTTGTAATTTGATAAAATTACAATAATATCCTTCGTTTTTTTAATTAATATATCTAACAGCATACCAAAAAAAGGATATAGCAATTTTGTTATTTTAAAGAAGGAATATAAATTAAATGAGAAGTTAATTTTAAAAATCTCTGGACGGTATGTTTTGAATTTGAATTTTCAATGCAATGTTTCGTATATGAATAATATTTGTTTGACCAAAAAAGTTCGAAATAAATATCTTATTAATAAGAAATGACCAACAATATAAGTTATCGCGATAACTTAGACTAATTACTATTTATAATTTTGATAATGCATAACTTTCTTACTATTTTTTTAAAATAATTAAAAAAAGAATTTATCATTTATTTCAAAGTAATGGAAAATGAACAAATATAGATAATGCATAACTTTCTTAGTGCTTGCAATAAGAATAGATAATGTTTTGATGTGGTTAATTCTGGATCAACTATACTTAATTATTCAAATTACATATAGATTAGTGATGTTTTCTATTTATAATGTAGAAAAAATTTATCATTTATTTCAAAGTAATGGAAAATGAACAAATATAATTGTGGTTCTAATGGTGTGGATTAATCTCTCGTGGTTCTAATGGTGTGGATAAATTAGAATTTGACTATTAATCGGACACAATAGAGAAGTAGAATTCATGTAGCCGGCCCTACTTAGTGAGGCAAAGGCTTGATGTTGTTGTTGTGTTGTATTAGAAAACAAATAACTTAAGATAATAACATGTTGTACCCAGACTTGACCTTTGAAGGAGATATATTAACCCATGATATCGACCTCTTTTAACATGCCGAGTCGACTTGAGCTTAGCACAGCTAATCACAGATGGAGTCAGAGAAGACATACTTTAAATAACATTTTAATATAATACCCTCCGTAAATAACCAAGGTTTTTTAAAAGTTTTTTAATTTCTTTTCTATTTATTTATATTTTTTGGTATTTTTTAAATCATTTTTTAGTTTTTCCTTTTATAATTAAAAATTTATAGAAGTGACTTTATTTATATAATTTTATGAGTAGGAAAATATTAAATTTATATATATGTTTCTTGTAACCGTAAAATTTAATTACTATAAAAATTTAATTAATTCTTGAATTTATAAAATTATAAATAAAAAACTAAGAAAAAGTTACTAAAAAGAGAAAAAAAAGCAACATAAAAAGCCTATGAATAATTGAATATAAAAAATATATATATTTTCAAATCAAGTTGCTAGCAATGCTGGCGAGTGAGTATTGAATTTTTTTATTTCTTACTAATTTGTTTTAGTTTTTTTATATATAGTATGACTTATAAATAAATAGTTTAATTACAGTTTACATATATTTATACAAAATAGAAAGAAAAATAAGAAGACCCAAAAAAAATTTAAAAAAGATAGAAGATAAAAATGAGAAAGAAAAGATGGAAAGGACTAAACCCAAAATATTAGTTTAATTAAAAGTGACATATATTATTTAAAAATGAGAAAAAAAAAAATCAGTTGCTAGGTTTAGTGACTCACTTCCTAATAGGTGGGGTTCAAATTGACCTGAAAACCCAAAAAAGACATGTAAATGTTAAAATTAAGGATTATGCGTGCAAAACTTTTGGGTCGGGATCTGAACCAAATTATTTTTTACATATTTCCTAGGACCTTTAAAATTTATTGACATATAAGTAGGGCAAAATTTAAGTGCATTTGAACCTTATATCATCTGCAAATTTTAACGGGAGGTTTCTCTTATCTTCTTAGTATGTCTCGGTTGTTGCTATATTTCGATGGTGAGTTACGTATTTCGGGCGAGTTCACACCAGCTTATATTGGGGGAAGAAATAGACCGCTCCTCATCGATGGAATAATTACTCTTGAAATGTTAAAATTAAGGATTATGCGTGCACTAAGGATAAATCCAACAACGAACACTATTAACCTCACATGTCGTATTCGAGATAATGGTGGATTTTCGGCAACCAATGTCTTCGATGATGAGATATGTGAGTACATGTTGATGGAGGCCAGAACCCATACTGTCGTTGTATATGTTGAGGTTGAGCAAATAAGTGGCGGCCAAGCTGATGTCCCATCAGCTCAAGCTTTCGTGTGAGTTTCAATCAATAGTTTTCATAAATATATGAACGAACATCTCCATTGTCCTCATTTAACTTTTGTGTATTAGGCCCACAACAACGTCTGAGGCCTTTATGCCTATTGTTAGAGATATTTCTAGCAATGTTGAAGCAATGTTGAAGATCATTTACATGGGCATAATTGGTTCTGTGAGCGATGTATTCATTCAACGCAACATCTTCCAAGAGCTGAACCTAGATGTACTGCTGTTGAACATTCCTCCTGGGAGACAACTAACTACGAACAAGCACAAAACATCCTACCCTCAGTAGCTTCAATGCCCCGTAATTCACAACACGAGCCGTACACGGGAGAACATGCTGATGGTGGTAGAGATGAAGTTGAAGGCTATGAAACAATAAATAGCAGTAGTAGTAATTCATCGGATGATGATAGCCCAAGATTATACTCCCAATGTCCTATGGAAGAATTTAACAACATAGAATGTAATGGCCAAGGGTACATTGAAGATCACGCAACACAAAATTGTGATGGGTTAGATGGGATGAACATGAATAACGAATTTGTCGAAACTGTTAGGACAACACAACAGTGGGATGATGATGAAAATTTTGATGCCCCCTGTGTAAACATTGTCAGCCCGACAGAAGCAACTTCTGCAGTTGATTTATATGACGGTCAGATATTTCATACTAAGGTAGATTTACAAGCCGCAATTAATGGTTGGTCGATTCTTCATAATGTTCAATTTTTAAATTCAACGTCAAACAAGATTCGTTTGAGTATCATGTGTGCCCAACATGACAATGTTGATCGTCCTTGTCTTTGGCGCTTACATGCATCACGAAGTAAACGTCTAGGTGGGTTATGGAAAATATCAACATGTGGCCCTCCACATACATGCACCCACCCAATTTTGGCTAGCGGACATCATAACTGCACAACGAAGTTTATATGCAGACTTATCATTCCTATAATTAGACAACAACTAGACATGAAGCCGAAGGAGATTGTTGCGAGAATGGAGTCAAAATTTGACATCAAGATTTCATATATGAAGGCATGGGACGCACGTAGAAAAGCTATTGAAGCCACCTTTGGTAGCTACGAACAATCTTATCGTTCTCTTTTTTGTTTTATGGAGGCCTTACGATTATCACAACCAGGCTCTGTATATAGTATTCATGTCGTGGCTCCGACACGCTTTAAGGGACTTTTCTGGGCATTTGGTGCAAGTATATGTGGTTGGGAACACTGCCGGCCAGTCCTGAGCATGGATGGGACATTCTTGCTTGGAAAGTATCGAGGGACCCTCTTGGCTGCGGTAGGAATAGACGGGAATGGTGGATTATTTCCACTCGCATTTGCGGTGGTGGAATCAGAGAGCAATGAATCATGGATTTGGTTCCTACAAAAACTACAAGAATTAGTACCTACTGTAGTTGCTCGGGAGAAGTTATGCATTGTTTCTGATAAGCACCCCGGACTTGTACGTGGATGCAGGGAAGTATTTCCAAATGCAGTTCATAGGCACTGTCTTCGTCACTTGCGTGAAAATTTTAAGAAGATGGTTCGTCGTTTAGGAACTCCTGATAGTGAGGGATTAAGTAACAAAATGTATTTTGCCGGAAATACAGATGATTACTTATATTTTAATCGAATGATGGATGAAATTAAAATGATAAAGCAAGAAGCATTCGACTGGTTAGTACAACGTGACGTCTCCAAATGGTCACTACTTTTTGATGAAGGACATCGATATGGTATCATGACCACCAATGCGTCTGAATGTTTTAACGGTGTCCTTAAACGAGCCCGTGGTCTTCCAATTCAAGGCCTAATTATGTCAATTTATTATAACCTCGTTGCACTATTCCTGAGGAGATCAGCTGAAGCTCAAAAGTGGGTTGAGGCAGGCCAATCACCCTTCGTTCCACAAACAATGGTTGTGATACAAAGAGCTGAACGTGATGCTCGACGATGTCCTGAACCAGTGACGATTAACAGAAATGAATTTGAAGTGATTGATACATCTTCCCGAGCAAACAAGGTTGAGATAACAAATGCAGCCTCCTGTACATGCACTTGTCTGAGACCACAACGTTATCATGTCCCATGCGTTCATGTCGTTGCAGTTGCTGGAGCTAGGCGGTGGGATCATAATGCATTTGTATCACCCATTTTTACTATTGAGAAGTACCTCGCTACGTACTCCAAATTATTTCATGTCTTCCCCCCGAAAGACATATGGCCCGGCTTTAATGAAGAGCATGGATTAATTCCTTTACTGGCACCCACTTTTAGACGTCGTGCTGGTCGACCACGAATGAATAGGTTTCGAAACACCATGGATGAGCTGTCAAGTAGTTCAAATAAAGCATGTGGCTTTTGTAAACAAACAGGCCACAATAGATCAACTTGTCCGCATAATCCTTCTTCATCAAGGTTATCTTCAGTCACAACATATTTTGCTCTTAAAAGAATTGACTGACAAGAAAAATCTAAAATTTATATATTATGTTATTTTTGTAGGTATGGCCGACAGATCTAGACGTGCGCGTTTTGGCCGACGCACATCTCATCGCACTGCCGATGAAAATGTCCCAAGGGAACTTAGTATTGCGTCACTGGGGGAGTCTCATAGGGCACACGATCCTGATCATGTAAGTTACCTAAATAATTTTAAATATTCATTAGTTCTGTCGTGCTTAAATATCATTTTAATTTGTATAAATTTGAAATTTTCAGGCTTCTCCTTTAGTAGCGTCATCTCATATGCGAATGGCTAGGGAATGGCCAATTGATTGCCCACGGATGATTTACGTATTGACTAACCTGGGATTGTATAACCTCAGGCATTTGCAGTTTATAAGGTTGGATCACAACCTAATTCAGGCATTGGTGGAGAGATGGTGCCCAATAACAAACACATTTTATTTAACAATCGGCGAGATGACTATCACATTGCAAGATGTACAAATTTTACTGGGGCTTAGAATTGATGGACCTGTAGTGGTTGGCCCAAATGTTGTTGGGCAAGGACGTATTTGGCCAACATGGCCGAGTTGCTGTGACGAGTTACTTGGTTCACATCCCGGACGGGAGACAGTATACCATGACCCGAATGATGAGGAAGACGTAGTGACATTCAGGATGGGTTCTTCACAAATTGATTCTATGCTCCCACTACGTTGGCTCCGCTGGACATTTTACAGAGAGTCCTATGATGATTTGGCACCCGAGATTTTCTTACGACATGTTCGTGCATACATCCTATTCATGATAGGTTGTTTTCTGATACCAGACACATCACGGAGTCATGTATCGCTACAATGGTTACCTCTGCTTGCGGATGTTGACAGCTTCAGTAGGATGTCTTTGGGTGGTGCCGTTCTTGCACATCTTTATAGGGAGCTCTGCTACGCGACAAGGCCAACGAGGACATATATAGCAGGATGTGTTGCACTCCTACAAGTATGGTCATGGGAAAGACTGTACATTGGTCGACCGACACTACGAGTGCCTCAGATTATTGACTTAGCAGGACGTCCATTGGGTTGCAGGTTAGTACGCTTTATTCAATGAAAGATTTTTTGTTATTTCATTAATAATGATTCGTATAAATTTATAGGTGGGCTGAAGACAGGATACGTGAGCTCCTGCAGGCAATACAATGACGTATAGAGATGAGTTTGATGGGTTGCGTATGAGTCAGGTATAACAAAAGTTTGATTATGTCATTAAATAGATTTAAAATTTTTTACAAACTTTTAAATATGACATGTAACTTATGCCTAGGTTATCATGACTCCATATACCCAAGTAGTTTTAGCTAGCCTTCCATTACAATTTCATGATGGAGAAGAGATTTGGAGGGCACGAGTACCGCTTATCAGTTGGAAGCGTGCAGAGTGGCACCTACCAGACCGGGTTGTTAGACAATTTTCAGGTATGCCAACCATTGATATAGAGCCCATGGATCCATCGTTCAGGCGCATCGACGGCCGAGGTCGAGCTGATCAAGATTGGACAATACAGTACCGTGACTACCTCCAAATATGGGAGGAGAGAAGGGCTTACGTGGTTCCAATCACCCCTCTAGTAGGGACAGGCAACCGAGAAGTAGGAGCTTATCTACGATGGTATAGATCTTAGGCTTCTATCTACTTGTTGCAACCTCAAATTGAGCTTCCGGAGACCTTCTTTCCTCGATCACCTGGCGAGAGATTAGTGGTACGTACTTATTTGTTTTGTATGATGTATTAATTTTTTCAAAAAAAATTTAAAGTTTTGTAGTAATGCATATATATTATCCCTTTAGGCGGATTACTATATACGATCATCAGCGATACTTGAGCCACTCGCTGGGGCCGGCGGACAAAATGCTAGTTCACTGCAGATGGCCATTGATCAGGTTGCTGAATTGTCTGCCCGAGTTCAGCAATCGGTTTACATCGACTACACAACCTTTGATACAACTACGGAGGCAGAGCAACAAAGGAGAGAACGCGCAGAGACCTCTCATGGGCAGCAGCATACTAGACGATCTGTTTCTGATGCTCCGTCACGATCGATGGGAGGTAGGCACCGTCGGCCTGTTGTGCCGGATCCGCATCGCCATTCCATGCATACACCATCCATGGCTTATGATTACATTGGACCAGGTTCTTCGGCCCCACATTGGAGCCCACACGTTGGACAGTCTAGTCAACCAGGTCAGATCTATTATGAGACACAGTACAACCAACCTAGTGGACAATCATTATTTCCAATGGCCATTCCACAGTGGATGTCATCCGTAGGAATACCTTCATCCTCAACGCAACAGGATATGATGTTAACGGGAGGTATTCCTGCAGAACCAGACACACATCTTTCACAACAACGCATCGAGGTTGAGCAGGAGGAGACAGAGGTATCAGAGGAGCCACAGTTACATAGGAGAAGACGAAGGGCACCAAATAGATTTACTCCAGGGAGTGGGGCATTACCTAGGCATCGTTAGAATGAGATTTGAGATGTATTCTAGTGCTGATCTTCATGTTATAAAAATTTAATTCAAATTATGAATTCTCCTTATTAAATTGCCCGACTTTTCATATGTAGTAGTTACAAGATTTTTTTTGCTAACGACAAAATTTTATTCTGCATTCATTTGAGATAAATAACAAAGAAAAATAGTACAGTACTCATTGTCTTATGCAAATACTTTATGTCAAAGGTTCATTATTCAAGGATGTCCTCCAACAACTTAGATGCGAGCAGCAGTTATGAAATCAAACAATGGATTACAGAGGGTACCATACGGCTGCGTGGAAGCTTATCCTATGCTGTCGATGAGGACCTTGAAGCTAGGGTAGCATCAAATGAGCTATTCAGGTGTATTATCCATACTTGGGATGAAGATGATGATTTCTTATTGTGGCACTTAAACGAAGATACGATGAAGGAAAAGGAATATAAAGGCAACCATGCACGTCGAGAGTTGGGCTGGAAATGTATACAAGAAAGCTTCCCACTTTTTAAGCAGCACCTTGTGGGAATAGATTTCCTAAAAGGTCGATTTCTAGAACTTGGTCGTACTAAAAATGGTGACATTGAACCCGGTTTAGGACTGTCTATGATGGATATAGACAATTGTATTTTATACTCGGAGTGGAAGCCTCAACATGATAAGCACATAATAGAATCTTATAAACAGTTAACGGAGACTTCTAAAAATGCTAAACCAAAGAAATTTCTTAATGGAGAAGATTGGCAGCAAATACAACAACAATTTCAGATCAACTTCAACTGTTGTCCTACACAAACACATCTGCAAACTCGTCTACGATATCTATTAAATAATATGAAGTAGTGCGTTAAAAAAAAAAAAACAAAATAATATGTTCAGCACCACTCCTATTACCGTGCCTCGAAATTGTACTTTATGGTGTTAAACATTCCTGAAATATGTACTTCTTCTTGTTATGTCGATCATTATGTTATGTATTAACATGAACTACTGTTAAATACTTCTCGCACTATTTATATTCCAATTTTCTATTTTTTTTGCTTCTAGTATTTTTTTCAAACCACTTCATCCATCATTCATAATTATTTGTAATTATCATTATATAAAACAATGATAACAAAAATTAAATCTAAATCAATTTAACAAACTTTTAAATTACAGCAGGAATACGCCGAAAGAAACAACGCAATCAGTAAAATGCGCTAACCGGTCGTTCGCATTTAAAAAAAACACATTAAAGTATTTCAAGAAATGTTAATTTCTTTAAAATTATTAAATAAAAACTAAACTCTCTCTCATTCCATCTTTATTATACATCCGGTAAATAAATCAGAAATAATTTAAACCTAATTTAACTTTAAACATTTTAATATATTATCAAATTAATATTTCATTTAGGATATAAATACATATTAGTATATTACTATAATTTTTTTACATATACGATTATTACTTTTTATTCAATCATAAAATATTATAAAAAACTAATAGATTATATATTTAAGATTTACATGATTTCATGTTACACTGAAATTTTGATTGAGAGAGCTCTTCACTGAAAACATTGCCCAATCATATTGCGATATCGAACGTGAAAACAAGGAAAAGCATTTTAAACGGGGAACAGAAGAGGATTCAAAGAATGCGCCTGATCATTCAGCGCAATCCAAAGATTGCGCTTAAGAAGTCGGCGCATTCAAAGAATGCGCGCAACGTTTCGGCGCATTCTTTGAATGCGCCGTTTATATGCGCGTATTCTATGTATGCGCTTAAAACATTGGCGTATTGGCTGCTTTTCAAATTCTTTCGCAAACACGCTGCTTCTCCTAAAATCTGCCTCAACCAAGCTGCTTCCAAAAATTTGGCCTATATATTTCGCCCTCTTTAGTATCTAATATATTATATAAATCACTAAAAGCTAATGTCTTTGCATCTCATATTGCTTTCTTAGCATCCTTACGAGCCACTTTTTATATGTCCCAATTATCAGAATTTTTAAAATTAAACCAATTTTTATAATAAAGCTTCTTATTATTAATTGGCAAATTATTCCTTTCATGTGTCTTCTGCTATAACAAAGACCAAATTGTCTACCTATGTGTTGGCTTGCACGTAATCCCACCGCTGAATATGAGATAACTGATTAAAAAAAAATGCAAATATATCAATTTAATCATCCCATACACATTTTTCTCCATTTGTTTTCATTATTCTCTCATACACGCATCTCTCTCTTGCTCTTTCTAATAGCAAACCTCTCTCAGCTGGACGTAGAGCTACGTTCGGCCGCCAATAACATGTCCCCACGTGCTCTTACTCTTTACTGTGCGGCCTGACGACTATACTAAAACTGGAACCCGGGAATGCTATGTTCGCGTATTGCGAGGTATTACTCGGTATTTGCTCGGTATTACTCGGTATTGCTAGGTATTGCTTGGCAATAACGAAAATATCGCTCTGTGAAGGGCAATACCGAGTAATACCGAACAATACCGAGTTGTACCGAGTTTTTCTAGAAAAACTAGAAAAACTCGGTACAACTCGGTATTGCTCGGTATTTGCTCGGTATTGCTCGGTATTTGCTCCCAATACCTAGCAATACCGAGCAATACCTAGCAAAATCGAGAAATACCATGCCATCCTACCCGGGCGCCGGTGCAGCGGCCCTTGCACACTTGTCACTGTATTCAGGCCATACAGCGCATCGCTTCCAGGCGACGCCCTAACATTAACACAATTTCTTAAAGGATTCATGTCATTATTGTTCGACAAGTTTTACGCTGGCTGTCGACTACCTAACGCAACCCTCCACTTTTCTCATCCAGGATTTGGGACCTGGCAACGGCAGTGTTATTGTGTTATATTAATCATTTAAATTTAATAAAATGTTATTTCTAATATTACTTAACCAAATCTTTTCAGTTCTACCTCTAACTTTTTTTATTATACATCATGTATAATACATCTACTCTCCTAACCAAGTCATCGAAAGGCTGATGTTTTATATGGCAGAACCATCTAAGGCTACTCGCCCTATCTCATCTGTCACTAGAGCTACTCTAATATTTTCACGTATATACTCATTTCACAGCCAAGTCTAAAACCACTCATCCACCTGAGCATTCTCATCTCTACAATACTTAATTTCATGCTTCTCTTTTAATAGCCAACATTTTATGCCATGTGCATGTGTTTAATAAAATCAAGTGGTATATTTTCTTGTGGGCTCCGAAAATTCGGCCCCGGCCTCCCCGCTTATTTTTTATTCGGCGATGGAGTTTTAACTGAATAAGTTCCGAGGTAAATTTTGGAAGACAGATGGGTTTGTAGATAAGACATTACCCAGAGATTTCGCTCTCATTTTGCGAGGACTTTATGATATGAGTTCTGGTTTCCTATAGGCGCAAGCCCCTATAGTTAATTACCCCTCCCGATAACGAGAGAGAACTTTCGATTAAGGCTAGTCGTCGATCAGATACGTAGAATATACGTGTTATCTGGCATATAATAGCAGCGATGGATTTAGGAATTTTGGAAATTTGAAGATTTTGGATGTAGTTGATATTTAAAATAGAAATTTTCACCATCTTGCACTTAAAGCGGATGGTGGGGGAATGGATGATAGACCCGATCAAGATCCCATGGTTCCGTCATCCCGGATCATCGTGGTCCCTGGTCTACTTAGTCAGAGGAGGTAGTCGACCCAACCTGACAGAAGGATCCTTGTCGGCAGCCATGTGTTGCTTCGTCCAAGGGGACCTTGTAGACCTGGGGTGGGTATTTGCCTAAGGGGACAAATTTGAATCCACCTTAGCTTATAGAGGGCTTTGTGCCCTATCGATCATATCCTATTGTTTCATATCTCAAGGATTTGATGCCAATAAGGAGCATATCGGCGCTGGCCATAACTGGTATTTCGTGGTGCCATTTGGCGGCAAAATCACTCGGTTCAGAGGGCCCCGGGTCATAACCTTTTATTCTGCAGTGCCATTTGGCGGAAAACCGCCGGTCAGAGGACACGTACCACGTCCTTTCTAGCAGGAGATTATTTGAGAATGGATCTTAGTGATATTTTCGACTAGGCATTTAGCTCTTTTGTGAGATGAAGTAAATTTTAATTTGTCCACCTCGGCAAATTGTTTCGGAGGGTGGATGGATTTTGCTTTAAGTTTTTGATAGTTAGATTTCATTTTTAAATATCTTGGAATTTGGAATGATTTTTGGATTTTAAGTGGACTTTTGGGAGACATTTGAAAATGCCTAAAATTAATCCCTCCGGTTGAGATCGTCGTTCAACACGAACATCACCGGGGTGTTTGGGGTCATTTCCATTTGTTGATTGAACCCCGTCGACCTTATCAAATCATTGATAGGGGATCAGGTTTTGTAGGCTTTGTGCATTTGTTAGTGAATTTTCTTGATTTTAGGCTTTGAAGGCCTAATATGAATGTGTTAAAACAAATGCACTGGTCACCACGACCTATATTTGTTTGAAGGTTCGAACCCTGTCGACTCCTATTGATCCGTATAGAAGGATCGGGTTCGAACTAGAATTCACTTAATAACCCACGCAGCATCCCTTGACGTCACATGTGTACCAATAAAACGCTTGCTGGGGCCCATGCAGGTGTTTGGGTGCATTTTATAATTGAACCATGTCAATTCCTTTTATCTACTTAGAAAGGTTGGGTTCAAGTTTAATAACCCGCGCAGCATTCCTAGACGTTACGTGTGTACCAATAACACGCTCGCCGGTGCCCTTGCGGGTTCTATGATTGCTTTTACCCCTTATAGTGTACCTATGTGTATACAAATTACGGTGCACGTATGGGGGTACTTTGAAATATTTGTGAAACGCCTTCTGTCCGCTCGCATGAATGTTGCTGATCCGGTGGCGTGGTGCAGCAGCTTCTGAATAGAGTTGTTCGCTGCTTCGTACAGGTAGATTGTCATGCACTACTTGTTGCTTTCTGTAGGTGGATCGTAGTGCATTAACGAATCTCCTGCTTTATATTTGTTGATATTTGTTATAGTCCTTTTGTATACACTTGTAGACTGTGTGTATAATAGGTCTCCTACGGTAGCTCGTAGGAGCTCGCCATTATTATGGTCCTCCAGCCTTTATTATGACCTTCAGCCTCCATATGAAAATGACATATTACATGTTCGTGCTTACAGAGGATTACTCATTCATACAGCATACCATTCATTATTGCCTTTTATGCAAACCAATACGTTTATTTATAACTTGATATTAGTTGTTGGTTGAACCACATTCATCGACGATCTCTTCATGTGTTTTGATTTGCAAGTCATTACATGTCGTTTGTCACTGCTTGTAATCGAAAGACATTTGATGTTGGTTATAAGGAGATTATTGCTTTTGCATCTCATCCACTATCGTTATGTACAAATAAACTAGTGTGCTTAGTACAAACCTCTGTTAATGCTTATAAGTAGATGTAGTAGGGGTCACTACATCTTCTTGCATGACTGTCGTAAAGACCATTATTATCTTACTCTGATGTAAATTGGAAAACTGCTGCATTCGTCGCATGTCTTTTCTTATATTGTTCATGAATATCCCCTTCCTTAAAATTATTTCTACTTTGCAAATATGATAGGGATGAATGTTATTCATGAGTACATTGGAGATCTCATGCCACTATTCATAGTAGAATTGTGTTCTTGTCTTCATTGTTGCTAGTGGATGAAAGAATTTTCTTTATCCAATATATGTCATTGTGTGATTGTAATCAAGTGGTATACAATAGTTTGTTTATCACTGTTCATTTGATCATTGCACATAATTAGGTCATGTTGACTATTGTAAGTCTTTTATTGTCACAAGAGGATGACCCAAATCTTGTATGATGAGTTTGCTCCTCAAATTAAGCTCATCTTGAATTCAAATTTCTTATAACTTGTTCACCTTGATTATACTCAAATTCAAATTGAGTTTGCATTTGTTGTAATTCAAATTTAAATTTGAATTCAAGTTCAATATGCGTTCAAATCTTTGTAGTTATGATGTGCCACTTGCAAGTTCAAGTCTCAAATACTTGCAAGATTAATTCAAGTTCTATTCTTATCCACTATGCTTGATTCCGAGCATGTCCAAACTTATAAGTCTTCATCATTTGATTCAAACTTGAGCTCATTTTTGTTTAATATTTTAATGATATGATTTGCTTAAAGTTCACTTATTCAAGTCCAAAAACATGTTTAAATTCAATGTCAAAAGTCCCCTGTAGTCTTGTTCGGTTCAAGTTCTTTGCACCAAGCTCATTTGAGTTCAATCAAGTCCACTATTCTAGTCATTCAAGTTCAAATAGTCCCCTTCTCTTGTTTCGTTTGCACTTGAAGTTATTATTGATTGTTTAAGTTTGAATTAAGTCCGTTTGATGCTCCAATCAACGTCCAAGTAATGCTCCAAATTGTCCCAAGTACGATCTTGCATTTACCCGAAATTTAGGCAGCCTTCCGGTGTCTCCCCCGTTTAGGGAAAAAACTACGGAAAACTGAGCCTCCCGCCATGCTAGAGAAAAGCGTGCACGGTAGGTGCCCTCGGAAGAGGACACCACGACTGTAATAATTTTATTCCCCACCACGCCAGAGAAAGGCGTGCATTGGTTGAGGGCACCGATTTAAAATAAACAATTTTATATTATATTTAACTTAATTAATTATAACTAATTAATATTAATTATTTTTAGCAAATTAATTAATAATTAATTAATTATAATTAAAAAAATATTTACAATTAATTAATATTAACTTTAATTAAAATTCATTATAATTAATTAAAATTAATTATAATAATTTAATTAAAATTAACTGTAATTAATTATAATAACATAATTAATCAAAATAATTATAGTTAAAATTAATCATAATTAAAACATTTAATCCCTCTCCCTAACTCCCTCTCTATAATCTGGCATGCTCACAGGATTAGGCCGAACCGGCGCATGAAAGGGAGACATTACCTTCACAGCCGGCAAACTTCCTGTGTTGCTTCAGATTAAAATGTCGTGAAGTCCGATCCTACAGGAAGGAGAAGTCGTGGAATGGGCAGAGTCGAGCGGCAATGGGGAGCTCGGAGTTTGGCCGTGGATTGGAGAGGAGGATCGGGCTAGGAGAAAGAGGCACAGGGAATGGATTCAGCCAAGGAAGAAGAAAGGTTCCTCTCTCTCTCTCTCTCTCTGTCTTCCTCACTGGATCGGAGAAGCAGGAGGTTGGACGTCGGTTAGGGCAGAGGTCGTGGCTGCTGGCTTTCCGATAGAGGGGCGACGGAGTTCGTGAGTGTGGGAGAGGAACGAGCAGCCGAGAGGTCTCCATTCCTCTTCGTTTTATAGACGTGAAGACGGAGCACAATCGAGGTGAGATCGCGGATTTTGAGCAGGATATGCGGAGAAGCGATGGATTCGACGCCGAGCTACGGGATTCCAGCAGGTCTTCAGGAGATTTGGTCTGCTTCTTGATACATACGAGGTATGTAATCTTTTGGTTATTACATAGAGGTTAACATTTCTCCACACATAAGAAATTAATAATAATAGAACATTGTGTTGTCATATTTTTTGTTAGCTGCATCATAGAATGTATATGCCTGACTTTCATGTCCTGGCCATGCCTGCACACTATCATCCTTCTTCCCAAGCCTGCCTAAGTCTAGCCTGTCTTGTTAGCCCATGTAATGATGTGATATCTCTACTCCTTGTCTGGTCAATTTTTTGATTGAAAATGTGTTATGAATTGAATTATCTTAGATACCTTGGCGTCTTACAAGCAAACAAAATATAGGCGCAACGGCATATGCACAGAATAGGTCAAATGTGATACTTTGCTCTTAGTAGGATGCTAATTTGTTTCCTTATTTCAGGCCATTCCAAACCTGGACTTCTGGCTCAGTTTACCTCAAAGGACTTGGGTAAGCAATTACCTAAACCTTTTGATTTTGAAGTAATGTGGTGGAATGTTACTTATTTGCAAACCTCTTTTCTTATGTTCTCCAGAATCAGCCATCTCCATTGATTTGTAAACGTTTATTTTTTATCACATCCACCAGAATAAAAACTTGCTTAATCAAAATTAGGTGATTTTGGGCAGTAGTGAACTGCATTTTGGTTCAAAATCATCTCATGGTTTGAATTGACTTGATTTTGAGGCAGCTCAACTCGAATCAACTCGATTTCAAGCCTATTTGAAATAATTTGTTTCATTTTTTATTTTAAAAATATTTAATATACAGATATGTATATTTTTATTACATTTTAAAAATATTTATTCTATTTACATAACTAGACTCGATCCAATCCAAACCCAACTCAAAATTTGCTCGAAAATCAGATCAAGTGAAAAATTAAGCTCATGGATGGGCTTGTTTAGCCTGATCCAAGCTTGATTGGAGCCACAAAATCGATTCATTCTTCTTCGAACAATCTTCAATCATCAGACTAAAATATCAGCATAGATTGTTATACAACTATGACATTCTTTTTTTTTCTTTTTTAACTATGGCTTCTGCAGACCATGCTGGGCTCATTGGTGCGAAGACTGCAAGGATACACTCGTAGTACAAGGGGTTCTTATACGCCCGTGCGAGATGATAGGGATTCTCTTGCAGGAGCCAGCAGCTACTGATAAGCCATAGTAAATCCTTCTCTTTAAGGAGCTCTCTTGATAAGTCTGCTTGTTCTCCACTCAACCTGTGAGAAATTCTTCAATAGAAACACAGCAGAAAAATTTCAGCTCTTTGGCACAGGAAATTACAAGGATAGGATTGAGATGGTGAAGTGTTTTTTATATTTTTATTTTTATTTCTTTTTTGCTTCCTAAAACTATTATTATTTTGTTGCGGCGTGACAAACTCTTTTCTCTAGTTTTATCATTTATCTGGAATTTGTACTGATATGAAAATTTTCAGTTTTAATTAAGGCTTCATTTGGGACAGTTTTTTTATTTTTAATTTTTTAGTTCAAAAATTAAATTTTTGTACTAAAAAGTTATTTTAAGCAGTGATAACGCCGTACCAAACTAGGCCTAAGTTCATAGTTTTTACAATTTTTTCATTTCCATCATTTCCTTTTCCTACGGTTGTGAACTGCTGAAGCAATACTGGCCATGGAAGCTTATGTAAGCTAGGAATTCAATCATTTACTAATTTTAGCAATTTGTTTTTTTTTTTGGAACGGGGTTATCTATCTGCTGTCATTTTAAAGGGAGCGCTTGACGGCATAACTAATCTCTCAGTGGAACCCATCGAGGCTACCCACCGGCATTGGACCCACACTTGTTTTGTCCCACTGAAGAGGCGAGGCTGTAGTAGAGGGGATTCGAATTCAGGATGGGAGTTCCCAGCTTGGTTGGCCTTTTATACCTTGTAATTGGATCAACAATGAATTGAAAGGAAATATTTAAAATTTTACGGTTCAATGATGATGTAATAAATATAAGAATATAAAATAATTAAATGTGATAATATTCATAATAATAATACACTTTAAAAATCAAAAGATAATTCTAAAAATGTAAAAAGTGGATTCTAATATTTTATTTTATAAATATGCGTGTTTTGATTTTTAATCAAATAGACAGTTAAAATATCATAAAAAAAATATATAACAAATAGACTTAACTAATTTCTTTTGCTATCAAGGTAAATAAAAATTTTCTGCACTCGATGCTCCATGCAAGATTTTGAAAATCGGGTTGGTAAGTGAACCAGCTAAAGTAGGGTTCAAAGGTTCGATCATGGTTAAATTAGCTGATGCAATAAAATATTAATTTTATTTAAATTTAATATCATTGAAAAAATAATGATGCAATTAATTAAAATATGTGACTAAAATAATTATGAAATGTATAAAATAGTGTAATATATATTATTTTTAAAAAATAAAGACATGAATTAATGAGTAATATACCTCTTCATAAATTCTCTTCTAAATTTTCGTAGAAATCTTCATTGTCTTTTCTCTAGTATATGAAGTTCTATAAATAAAATGAAATGGAAATAATAATAGTAATAACATTGTCTTTTTCATGGAGCAAAACGGAGCGTAACACGAGTGCAGTAACTGGGAGGGGGTGAATAAATGAAAGGGGAGAAACTGTTAGTATTAGATTTAGGATGGCGTTACCGTGTTAGATTTAGGCTTCGTTTGGGACAGCTTTCTTTCCGCTTCTTAAAACAGCTTCTTAGTACAAAAAATTTAATTTTGATAGTAAGAAGTTGCTTTAAGAAGCAATAAAAAAACTGTCTCAGGCTTCGTTTGGGGCGGCTTTCTTTCTGCTTCTAATAGCCGCTTTGTAGTGCAAAAATTTTAATTTTTGTACTAAAAAGCTGCTTTAAAAAGCAGTAAAAAAGCTGTCCCAAACAGAACCTCAAACGAAGCCTTAAATTAAACGGTTGAAATTTGGCTTTGATGTGTTCGCCCAGTTTTAAAAATCGTTCCGGTTCGACCGTTGGTTCCTTCTGATCCCAGATGGTTTCAAAAAAACACGGTTACCATGCGAAACGGAATCTGCCGGCAGACCAATTTGGTCTCATACAGTCCCTTGGGGACAAAATGTCACAACAACACTTACATTCAACTGTATTAAATATACTTGTTTTGGTTCCTTGGAACTCCTCTCCTTTGAAGTATTTTTTAAACTGATGGAGCTCAGCTGCGGAGTATAAATTCACTAACTTGTGGAGTATAAATTCAAGCATCAGATAAAGACCTGTAAACAAAAGCTAGACGCCCATTGAAGGAGGGCAAGTCCACATCTCTTAGCTTTTGGAAGGAGAATAATCCGAGTGAGAAAAAAGTTGTGGAAGGATAAGAAACAGACAGGCGTGAAAGCTTCTGCTATTGAGTAAAGGCCAAAATAGCGCCCATCCTTTGCATTCCAACGGGCCTGTGAAGTTTGGGAAAGTCCGAAGTGGAAAGCTGATGCCGATGACCGGCGGTAAGGAACTTGTGGAGGCCACGAGCTGCGTGATTTGATCTCCATGCAGATGTGATGATCTAAATATTGGGTTTTTGTTTGTGTGGATATGAGCAGTCTTTGATCTTTTGGTGCAATGTGAAAATTGCAAGCAATTATGGCAAGGCCTCATTTGGCTGCATCTTGTTATAAATTACTTTTTTTCTTACATACATGCCACTTTATTTCATGCTGGTTATATATCTAATACCTAAAATATTAATATTACATGTTTACCGCCCATATATAACTTTAATATCAAATATATCAGTCTTGTATTTCATTTCTATCACTCATACCACCCTATAAACTTTTATATTTCATTTCATGCACTCATATTTGTTATATGGATGGTAGACATGTAATATAAATATTTTGTATGTTTGATATGTAATTAGCATAAAATAAATTAAAGTGGTATGTGTGTAAATCCCCAAAAAATGATTATTTTTATGAAAATTTGAATAAATTTATGGTGTTATTTTTTTTTTTTTTTGGAAGGGGGTTGATGAGTGTTAAATCTTAAACTATATATTCAAATATGGTTTTGAGGAAACAAACTTCTTTCATGATTTTTTTTATAATAAATTTAATTTCCCAAAAAAAGGATTTTTTATGATAAATTTGTGTTGTTTGAAATCAATATTGTTCCTAATTATTTTCAAATAAATAATATATTTGTATCATCATTTCTTTTCGAACAAATGAGCCTAAAATTAAGTGATAGAATACAAGTTAATATATCTTAGAGAGAAAAAAAAGTCAAATAGATGTTAGTGTGTAAAGATAAATTAGAGGGAGATAGATTAAGAAGTTAGTATGTAAATAAAATTATTACTTTTACAAAAGTTTTGATAAAATTTGTTTTTTAAAATTTATTTCCTAACCAAGAAAACTAGCATTAATTAAGCAGATGAATTTTGATTTTATATGCATCATAATAGGAGTAATTGGAGAAATATGTCTGCATTTTATTTTCTTAGGAAAATATATTCAAAAATTCATTTGTTTTGAATTACCCTTTCTATGTTTATATCCTTGTTATATAGGAAGAATGATATCCCACCCTTTCATACTTTTGCTTTATCAATTATTAAGTTATCATTTTATTTGAGATTTTTTTTGCTCAGTAGAGAATAAGATGACTTGGCCGGTGAAACTCTATAAAAAAAGTTCATTAGCAACTTCTACAAACATGTGTAGGATTTTTTTTTCTTGATGTTTATATGATATAATATAAGTTAAATCATTTTGGTGGACCTCTAATGTAGAGCTTGATAAAATGTTGAAGATAGAGTTTTGAATCTTGTTAGAATATTCATTCAAATTATATTCATATCTTATTTACATCATGATTGAATATTGTTCAAATATGGTTCAAACATATTTTGAACCATTATCGATTATGGTTTAAACCATCATCTAACCTTGTTTGGCAAGGGCATTTTAAGTATGTTTACTTCTCTTCAGGTGTTTGTGTTCAAAGCTTCAAAACTGCAGGTGCCCACTATTAAGTGTGAATGAAATATTTTTGAATATATACCATGGAGGTATTTTGCTTGAAGTAGTAGCTCATGATGCCAATACACATATTTACTCAATGCATTTATAATAGTTTATTCAAAAAAATAATGAGTCATAGATGTATTCTATGACCAAACTATGAAAGGCAATAGGCATAGTGGAAAACTTAGTGCTCGTCTTTGATAGCAACATTTTACTATCTATTTTTCTTGAGACACATCAAAGCTTGTACTCATCATGTTGCAATGAACATCATAATGAAGTTCAAAATTAATAGTTTCATGAGAAATATCACTTGGCTTCCAAAGCTAATAGAAGAGTTAAGTTTCATACGAGTTTTGATAAAATACATGTTAAGAACCTAGTCATAGCTTCTTATTTAGAAAATAAAGTTGGTTATAACTAATAGACTCATGAGTTCTTTTCCTTGGAATATGAAACAACCTAATAATGATGGATATTTTAGAAAGCTTCAATAAGTGCATCTTTTATTAAGTGACTACTTTATTGAAGTTTTTAATGCACACAATAAAGAAATCATTCTTCAAAAAGACGTGCCTTTGCATCAAATGCAAAAAAAAAAAAAAAAAGGAAAGTGGAGTCAAAGTAGCATTGAAAAATCTCCTAAACAATGCTCAAAGTTTAATTATATATCTCATTAGTTAATTTGAACTATATTTCCTTGAAGGTAATCTTAATGGTATTTATAGAAGCATGCATGTACATGCAAAAGTTTGATGTTATGGGTCTCCCATACAAACTTGTTTATTGTAGCTTAGAACTAAGGAATCAATTATTTTAGCTTTTCTTTAAAATTTTATTCACAAGAATTATCGTTAACTACATTTGCTAAAAACATATACCTATTAGGAAATAAAAACATTTAGGAAGTTCCAAATAAAATAAATAGAGTTCATGTGTTACTCCCATTAGTGAAGCCCGAGAGTTGTCATCTAAAGAAAAATAGAATGCCTTTAAATTAGGAGAATAAGTGCAACCAATAGGGACTAAGAAGCCATAACAAAGTTACTTATAAGGCCTAGTTCCTTTCTCCTTCATAATAGTTTTCACTATGTTCTTCTTATTACTATAAGAGCATTGCAACAGCTTAGATAATGTAATTATTGAAGTAATGTCATTGATTGGTGTGACTTGATGAAGAGATCATTTAGTGAGCATCAATTTGGTTGGAAACCCTCCAAAAGATACTTACATAGATGGGAAGTATCTTGATGGAGTTAATTTAGTGATGGAGTGAAGGCTTCAGGGACAGTCGGGGTCGCCTTATGGTTTTGGATAAAAAAATTCAGATAACACTAAGGTGATTTCAAATTATTAAAACTCCCTAAATAATCTATGGCTAAATTTAATGTCATGCCACACAATAGTTTCTTTAAATTTTTTTTAGGGTTTCTTTAGTCAGATCAGCATAAATTGACATTATACCATCTCGAATGATATACTAATGTCTAACTATCGATTTAAGAAGTGTAACCTCTAATTAATTTTCATGATCAAACACAACATAAGAAATATTCAATTCATCTCCGAGGATAAACACTACAAGAAAACACAAGATTACCGTCGGAGCTTCTGGTGGATCTATACACGTCGGTTTCTACAGCGTTGTTATCGGTGTCTAATGCGACGGAAATATAACGACAACATTACCAACAAAAAGGGTGCCGGTAAAATTTCGACACCGATTACGCCATTTAATACGTCGTAATCTATAAGCATATTGTATGATGCGGCATATTTTAAGTCAGAAATTTCTTGCGTAGTAACCGACGGATTATAAACCGGTCATTTTAAACACAACAAAATCTTACCAGCATAAAAATTGCCGGAAAAACTTTCGGCGTCTTGTCTGCCGAAAAATCCGTCGGCAAAAGCCCTATTTCAAACCTGAGCCCGTCTAACTTATTATTTCATTA